CCYWGAAGTCTCGTTTGCCAACTTGCAGCTTGTAAACACTTGAATAAAGGAATTTCGAGGTCCAGAACACATATGAGCATGCGTGATGGATAAATATAAATTTGTATTTATAATGATATACTGAAAAGACTGAAAGACAGTCTTCTTGCCTGCCATGTGGGACAACTTATAGAAAAGTTATGAAAGCATGCGTAATGGGTATATATATATCTCTAATACATCTAATAAAACTACTTTGAAATACTAGAGAAAMATCTGTACTATGTATATGTTATGAGGGTCAGTCTATTAGAAAACAAATAACAAAACAATGATAATAAAATCAACMTTTTCATCAATGATTTGATGTGCGAATTAAGACAACAATTATCTAAAATAAACTCATTCAAAATCAAAACAACAAAAATCATGTCGAATCACTGACAAGCGAGACATAAATACKACAAACACTAATCCAAAATAAAAACATCAACAACAATTATTACGAATCAATAATAGATAGAATACTAAGTATAAAGATAAACTATGATAAGCGTACTAAGAGTGCACTAATCCAAAACGCAAACAAATAAAATACACTACATTGCGCTTCATTGATGAAAGAAACTTGTGCCATAGCGATTTGATAATGAACCACTTTTCGTGGTCGCCTATAACCCAGTTTTTTTTTTCAGAAAGATGTTCTTTAGACAATGCCTTATCAGTGCGAAGGAACATTTTAAACTCCGTCGGAACATTTAAGATAAGATCGAGTGCAGGCCATCATATGTTTCTATTGTGGATAGTATTAGCGTGGACTGAAAATACTCTTCATTCCAGGGTTTGGAGGTGGCTTGGAACTTTGCCCAAAAGGTAAACGGTTTAGATCAAMATTTATAGTTAATGAATCTTTGAGTTTGAAGACGGATGGCTGTRTATGATTGACGAGAATTTTGATGAGATGTCTGAATTGTTGTTTCYTTCTTCCATTTTTTCTTYACATTTTGYTTTCTTTAGTTCATTTTTCTAATTACTTTCTATTACAGAGATAACGCACTATAAATCCGTGAAACGAAGTCTAATTAMTGTAATAGTTCACGGATTTAGCGCTTCTGTTCCCTATTCAGTATAATGGGTTTTRCAGGCTGAGGTAATTGTCGACTGCGTTCTTTGTAGTCTCAATGGTGGCCCTGTCGTGTAGCTATTCGCGCTTTTCATTATCAGAATTGTAATTTTTATGCCATATTGTTTCTAAGATTGTAATGGCTGTTTTGATGTAGAGATACCGAGCACTTAAGACACTCTATAGCTATCCACGCGTCTAGTTCTTGACTTGCTTTCAARAGACTCCGTCGTGTCGCTATCAGCCATTTACGACAGTCTACACTTTTCGGCAAAAAGATTCYCTCGCCTATGCATCGCACGGTATCTAMGTTAGCAGCTTCACTATATGTAGAAYCAATTTGACTGTTTACTTTAAAAATACAAAAACAATTGAAAAACAATTATCTTGTTTTTGTTTTGCTTCAAGTTCATGGCAAATAGAAACTCATTTCACAGACGATTCTGTTTATGTTTCTCTTATCAAGCTTTATGGCAATTTTTATCAGCAAAAATCCTAATCATACTGTTGTGGAACGCTATAATCCTGTTGAATTTGAGTTGATAAACCTATCATGTACCGCGAGGAAAAAAACCAACCTCGGAAACAGAAGATTGAAATATTGTCGGTCTTTTYGACGTTTTGCTTTTAATGGTTTTGGATTCATATCAAAGAATTGATGATTTTTTTGGATATTAACCACTTTTTCCGTTTGTGGTGAATTGTTCTGTTGCTTTCTGGAAAGGAAATACGCGGATTTTAATTTAGTAATTTCCCGTGGAAACTTAATTGAGAAAACTCAACCTGCGGATTGAAAACCTTCAATTTAGTGCGCTCAATGACGACGTTTAAAGTGAAAATTGTAAATGAATTCGAAGATTGATAGTCAATTTTTTGTCAATTGTTTTCGCTCAACGAAACACATATTTTTTCCTGAAATATTTTTTTCGTTTTTTTCAAGCTAATCCAAACCGTTTCCAAAGAAAAAAAAGGTGCAATCTCAACAAGTCAAAACATTTCTTTTTCAAAATAGTTCAATCTTACGATAAATATAACTAAAGAAGACCCCAGAAACACTTTTATCGAAATCTTAATTGCAAAAGGGTTATTTGAACTATTTGGCGACCATTTGACGCCATGGATCGGCCTAATCGTAAACAAGAAACACAAGTTTAAAAAAAATGGCGAGGTTAAATCATTTAAAAACATTATTAAAAACATATAAAAATATGTATTAAACGTGCAAAGTTTAATACTGATTCTGGGAAAGTTAGGGCTAATGAGTGAAGYTATGGGCTTGTGTTTTCTCAAACAGAGATGAAAAACGAACTAGATTAATTGGAGTCACTTCTCTGAGACTTTTGATTAGGAATCCAATTACTGGAGGTATTTTGAAGATAACGGGTACTCGGGAGGTTTATGACAATAATAAGGTTTTAATTCAACACACCTTGAACAATTTCAGTTCATATTCTTAATAACAATTCTATCGCAGTCCTTTGAAGTAAAACATTTCAAAAGAAATTTTTCGAATTATGAAAGAAAAGGAAACGCGCATCTAATTAGAAATGAAAAATGACAATGAGAAGGTACGCATGATGGAACCCGAACACTATGTCAAATATTATACTTAGTTAAGGAGCACCGCCAATTGATTACAAAACAACAAACAAAGAAAAGRATAAAGTGCCGATTTAAGCGTATCTTTAGGTTTTTTTTAATAAAGGAAATCAGAGGTTGTAGAACAAGTTCAAAAGACAAGGATTARYGYTATATGACAAGGTCTCTTTTCTGTGCATAGAACAAAAGCACATCGAAATTACTTTTTATACAAGCGACGTGCTCAACGTGAGGTCGAGTAAACTGCAAAAACAATCAGTTACCACAACTGGGTAGCGAAAACCGATTCCCCCGAGGCAACATACTCGCTACCCTTTGCCAAAAAGACCTTTGACTTATAGGATGTGACAGTTTTTCATTATTTAAAGCAGATTTCAATGTCCTGGGGATATTTCTAAGATTACACCCCCTGGTATGGTATTGATTCCATGTACTCGAAATCATTATTTTTCGGAATGAATACATCCCCCCAAAAGCGTAATCATCTTTTAGGCATACTAGTTTAACAATTACATTAATCATACCCTTAGAAGTAAGTGCTATTGTTGGTTAAGCCGCAAGTTTACCATCAAGGACTTTGGGTTGAGCTTGCGGACAGATGGCTTTATGAAAATGGCTGTTTTGAGCACACTTTGTTTGCAGAATGTGCGATCTCAAATCAAATGTCATTTTTAGCGATCTTTTAGAGTGATTCCTAGTTAAATACTTCCAGAGTAAATCACTTATAAATCCGCCGTTTCTTGTTAATTGTAACTTCAGAGCTAACTCATAGCTTTTAAGCTTAGCAAAAGCACATTATTTACATCGAAATTTCTCTGTAATTGCATTGGATTTTTGAGTTTTAACATATTGGAAACTAAAAATAGATGTCAAATAACAACAACAAACAACCTCAGTAATGTGATCTTTGAGCAATCACGGCACGCATGAGAATTAATAAATAAGTAATAGTTTTCGCTCTTACTATTCTAMAAACCCTCTAGATACTTGCCTGCCTTCGTGTCTTTGAATTTATATCTTTTCATAAACTAAAACGGAGAATAAACTCGGAGAGTTGCTCGGGGAGTTACTGGTACCTCATTGTAGACTAGTTTCATGCAGTGTCCATGTACTTGACACAAAAGCGAACTTAAGTAATGGCATATTTCTATAAATTATTCTATAACCTTGTCTTTCTAACTCATAAGGGATTAAAGTTATGTTTACCGCTTATTTAGAGCAATAAATGCTTCAATAGAGAACCGCAAATACGTCCGTTCTTAGCCATGGCTAACACGGCTACTGTTACCACAATTAACTTCAATGAATCGGTGCACACTTAACAAGACAAGCCCTTGTCATACCAAAATGTGTAATTAAAATGCTCAATAGAGCTTTGAATACTCACTGTTGATATCTTCTACCTCTTGCTTCGCCTATGAGGAAGAAAAACATGAGAAAGAGCTATGGAGAAGAGAGCCATTGCAAAGAGCTATGCTAAGAAGAGGGACAATATGTAGAGATCTTCGCGTTGATATTGAAACGTCTTCAAGAGCGAGTCAAATAAAACTACCCTTTTCTTACAGTTTAAAGTAAATATTCTCAATTCCTCGATATAGAGAAAATCAATGCACGACTCTTGAGAATTAATTTAAGATATTGACCCGGGATATTTCAGCGTTTGTGACAGCAATTTGGTGACATTTTCACAAAGACGAATTCAATTCATTGAAGAAATGCCCACCTTCAATGACCACAAAACCCTACAAATTTATCAATAAAAATTTACTATTTTCCTTGACAAATGGCCACAATATGCAGCGAGTAAGTTAAATGTCATTAAGATGTCACACTTTCGATTCAATAGACCGCTTTTGGTGTATATAAACATAGCGTTGTGTACAGTGGGTCGGCGCGTTGTTGTAGGTAGACCATGAAATACTAACATTACACTCTCTGTTCGCTTACCTATTAACCAAAAACATTGTAGGCACACAATCACACTCCATATAGCTACAAATGGCTTCATTTGTTCTTCGGCAGACCGCTAGARAGCAACAGACGGCTAAGTCATGTCKTTGTGGATCCTCTCCTCACCACATTCGATTGAAATGAACTTGAGAACCCGCGACGGTGTGGTGACGTCACAGGGTTTCCAATGACCGGGACATGACCAATTAGATACTCCAGAAGCTATTTGCTAGTTCAATAATTAGATTAATTTTAAGACACTGAGGAAATATTTGAATGCTTTCACTCGTTCTGGAGCAGGCAAAACATGTAGGGATAGTTTTTATATTTCTATTTTGTCATATATGGAGTTCCTGTGTGGGGCCTTTGAGGCATGTGATGCATTACCGATTGGGACTGATTATCAATCTTTTACACAAACAAACACGGTCAATTCGAGGCAATTTGCGGATCTATAGTGCAGCCTTATGGGATCGACCGCTCATATTTCTTTGAGTGCGCATTTGACRTTTTAACTTCAATATTCAGACAAAAGGGGACATTTTCAAGTTCGTAAAACTAGTATCATGCTCTATCATGCTCAGGCGGTGAAAATTTTTTAACTTCACAAAATGTTCTGCGTAGTTTCTGTCAAATTAAGAGTGCTTTTGGCACTTGGATTGTGGATTAGAACTCGCTATGCGTCAAACAAGCTGCGAATCTTTCGACACTACGGAGTACTCAGTGTGCAAACTTCTGTCATCCTTCACACCAAACCACGACAGGAACTAGAAAATATTTACCTTTGTTCTCTACCTTTCTTTGGATAGGGCAACTTTGTTCCATTGTCTGAAGCTTGACAATGGATTAGCGGGAGTTGAAACGGTTCAGTTTTGTGTAAATTCTTATGATGGATACTCTATTAGCGTCTCGAGGTCACATTTAGAAAGGTGGTCAACAAATGAGGCTGAAATTTCATATCGAATTGACAGAGAAAAACCAAGCTCCGACTTACTATCAAACTTTCTGGCAGTGAAAATACTTTCTTAGAGTAAAAATCCATTAAAAAATCTTTCACTGAACTAGATTTCCAACTTCATATTTCTCTGATGAGGATCGGGTTGATCACAAAAAGAAATCAATGCAAGGGTCCTGGAATTTTCAAGTACTACCAACCTTTGCTATAAACTTACCATTAATTATCCGTAAATTTGAGAAGTGATTTCAAAAACTCTTCTATTGTTTCATAGAGGTTTATACAAGCACTCAAAAYTATAAGTGTATTCGGCATTTGMCCTCGCGTCTCGCGCTTTAAAACGGTTTCTCGTGTTTGAATAAAAGAASTAATGARATCGATCGCGTTTGTTTTTGGAGCATATTGCATGAACASCTAATTATTACCTCGACCTAAAGTAAACATACACTTAAGCATTATTGACATTACGAGAGGTTGTTTAATGATAGTTAAGACAACAAGAAAACAAGATATATGCAGTCAAACAAATTTCAGGTTCAATTTGACTCAATTTTGTACAAAAAAATGTTACAATATCTTATTTCATTGCATCCAATACTGGCATATTAATCCCCCAAATCCGCTTTCCGATTTTCTTTGCAAAAAAAGGTAATGATACCATTTCTGTGAAGACTAGAACTTCATCAATTACCGAAGCAAAGGGCGATTGCATAAACTCCTTAGACAAAGGAAAAGTTTCAAAATGGTTTGTCCTCCACCCCCAGATTATGTACTCTGACGTCACACCAGTGAAAGGGGCCGACACAACATTGTTCTAAAGATTTGCAGAGAAATGTTGACTGGATTTAACTGTGAACCAAAATAGATCCAGATTAGCCATTATCCTCATCTTCACCCGGGCTTGAAATTATCTTATACAGGATGCTTGTCGCTGTTGAAACAGAGCCAATCTTCAAAGTGTCTCTCAACGTACAAGCCGAGAGAGATTTTCAAGATCTCTTAAAATCTCATGTTTCCTGTCTGCAAATTTACCACGTAGTAAACGGCTTAAAATTGAAATATTTCTTMCACACAAAACAKAGCTTTTTTCCAAATTCTTTTGCATTCTGAAATCTAAAATCTATGGAMAACTTAATTTCGTCATTGAGRATTRCCGTCTAGCAGAATCAATATTTTATTATCAAATCCGGAAGTACTTTTTAGCGCTTCAGTCACAATCCTCACTCGAACTGATTTGTGGAGACCTTTTTCTGACCTCATGCCTCAAGACTATTAAGAAAAGCCCCTTCGGCGTGTYTCTTCCACAGAATAAAGTATGTCCTAATGCAAGTGATAATCTAATAGTTGATTAAAGCTTTGCCATTGAAACCTTTTGTCCGCCATGCACGATAATAGGCCATAATAAGTGCCGTTGTTATCAAGGATGGCGCCTGGATGTGTTTTCAAAACCAGGTCAAATCCAGGCATCTTATATATATTATTAGAGACAGACAATGACGCCATACACTGATTTGGTTCAGGTGCGTTGATGTAAAAGAGACCAAATTCATGAGGTTTAAACTCTGAGCAAYAATCTTTCCGGAGCCAGCGTTCCTCAATGTACAAAATGAGGCTTCGACTGGTGTATCATGGGTAATTTTATGTTGAACTTCTTTCTCTTGTCTTTGAACAAGTTGGCAAATCAATTGAATACGTCAAATCATTGCTTTCCTAGGATTGATTCATGTTGTTTAAATATGATTTTGCAGMAGTTTTATTCTGAACCTGTAGCATGATATTAAGTATATATTCTCTTCAAATGTCTGTAGTTTTACAATAACTGATCGAAATTATTGGCCTATATTACTGGCCTATACCGTAACTGCTATCTGGCTTTAAGAGTTTAGAATTCTCTTGCCTATCTTATCTTAATTAATGTTTGACACTTATAGGAATGTCGGACTGATAGTCTTCCTTTTACCATCCTATACAATTGCCATCTTGCTTTAACTTCAACATCAGATATGTAAGAATACTGTTTTATTAATATATATTTATAAAAGTGTCGACACCTTCCAGATATTGTAGAGAACTAGCGTATCAAAATGTCGGCCATGTTTGAACTTATTTAGGAACCTGGCCTTGGTACGAAARGACAGGGAGCCCAAAACCAATGGTATCCTCTGAGTCGATTTCCTGAGAGCTTTATCAACGTATGATTGGATATGTTTTATCAGCTTTTACTCCTCAAATTGGCAAAAAAAAAGAAAGAAAACTGAGACTTTTAAGAGTTTATTGCTAAGCTGTGATTGCTGGAGATGTACAACGTCTGMACGTAATTATTTGACCATTAATTGTAATTTCAATTTTTCTCAGGGATATTTTTGTCATGTCATACGTAATTCTTTGCTATTGCCGTAGCTGCCATAATACCATTATCACTGCCATGATTATAARCATCGATTAATTGAACCGACCATCATTGTCATTGCCATTTCCATGACGACAGCCCCGACGAAAACCAGTTCATAATTTTAGTTCCTGTGCTTTCTGTATTTCCTGTTAGACGGCGGTTTATGTCTCGTAGTAATTGAGTTTGGTGCATTATGGCTTGACCAAGCTCCTTGATCCTGATTTCAAAGAATTGAATACATAAAGAAAGAAACATATTTTTTCTTAATCAATTAACTGGTTAAATTGAGCAAAAGTCTCCTTTTAACCCTAACCCTAAAACTCTCTAGTTTTCTGCATGCGCCACCTTGAAAGGTAACCGCGCCTCTGCATCGTTCAAASGTGAGCCTGCAATCATAGTGGCCTGCTTTCACACCAACAGACATTTATTCACAGGCATCCATCATTGCAACTTCACCCCCCCTGTCTCTCTGTTCGGTGCAAAGCCACTGCTACYCTTCAAGATAGCGGATGGTACTGGATTATACAAAAGTCAAAATATTTATACCTCTCTTCGTTTTGTGTAATCTTTCCTTTGAGCTGATTCAGCATCATGGGTACCCTGTGGTGGTAGTCATCTGAGTTGTCCTTTGTTGTTCCTAGGCTACAGAACATGTTCCATACCTGTTAGTTGAAAGAGATCTYATTATAATACATTGGTTGGCAGAGTCATATTGTATTGGTTGCAGGCTTCGAATTTAATATTCACTGGAAGAAAACGCGCACTTTAAAGGTTGCAAATTTGTTGTAAATGATTTACATCAAATTTACATTACTTTGGATACTTACATCAAATTTACAACCTTTAAAGTGCGCGATTTTTTCCAGTGACTTTGGCTTGTAAACTATCATAACTTTTCTCTCCTTGCAAGGACAACTTCTGTTCGGCATTTCTGTCTAGCTGGTTTACTCCCCGGGCTTCGCAAATGCGGATGACTGAAAACATTGTCAAAGAACATCCGGTCACGTTTGGACAGGGGCAAAAAATTACCGTACCTTCATCCAAAAGGTCTTCGGTCGGTTGGGATACTCAGCGTGTTTCTTGATCCTTAATTTGCGTAAAATCCACAACGGAAGAGATTCTTCCAGCTCGATCAAGTGTTCCACCTGCACGTGAATAGTGTAGCTAGATAAGTAGCTAGATAAGTAGTATAACTAGCTTCAGCCTAGCTTAGTGCCAGTGCTAAAAGATGGTTGTTTAGGAAAATATGGAGGAGTAATAAGTAGAGGACTGCATGCATACTTATGTATACGTGTGCCCTTAGATGTTTCAACGTTCCACGTTCCACGTTCCAACGCTCTCTTTAGTTTCGAGAGAGCATGTCTGATTAGATAAGCGTAACATTCATGTCTCCCCATAAGACTATTATCAAAATAAAGTGGAATTCACATACCTGCATAATATAGCGCTGTATGACGGCATTTTGCTGAATATTATCAATGTCTCCAACGGCTAAACCGATCTAAACGTAGAGAGGGGATTGTACCGGTTTGGACAAATTTATATTCAAGAATATTAATGATCAAGTGACGTCACAGTAAGGCTACGATACTGTCAGGGGAGGGGAAAGAGGCTTTGTACTTACCAACATATTCATGAGGATGATTGGCATCAAGAAACAGAAAGACACAAAGATGAAATAGTTCATGACTTTATGGTGAATATTACGTTGAAGGTACGTGCTGTCAAAGGTCAGCTCACCCAAGGTCATGACAAAGGTCTTTGCAATCGATTTAGGAAGAGTTTCAAAGGCGTCCTTTAAGTAATGGTAAACAATTGCGTAAAATTAATGGATTAAAGAAAGAAATTTA